CAAGGTCAGGCCATTTATGGTCTCGACAACCGCCTCGGGGACGACAGCAGTCGGGGACAACTATGGGTGAGCCCATACATGGCCGAGGCCGAACAGCGATTGCTTGGGATGCCCTAAGTCGTGTCCGAGACCAGCAGGGAGTTCTCTAAAGGGATCCCATCAGGAGGCACTGAGCCCCTAGGGCCAATCGAATGGCCCCAGCACCCGCTAGAGAAGCCTTCGGTACTTCTTTGGGCGTGTCTCTAGACCACTAGCCGACCCCTATCGAATGGGGCACGGGCCTCCACTCGACTTACCCGATAAAAGCTCACCGGAAATGTCACTGCTCGCGCCCACCGAGGGTAGCCTGGCATGTTCCACCCCTCCTTCCGAGCGAAAAGGATGCACGAGGGTCGTACAAAAGCTAGGGGAACTCCCCGATCGCTCTCTCGCTCATGCGAAGGCTCGGGGCTCTTCCGCAACCTTGCCGAGACCAGGCGACCTAAGCTTTCGCACACGAAGGGCTCGGCAAACAACCCCTCCTTCCGAAATGAAAAGGATGCACGAGGGTCGTACAAAAAGCCAGGGGAACTCTTGATCGCCCTCTCGCTCCGTGCGGAGGCTCGGGGGCTCTTCCTGCAACCTTGCCAAGACCCAGTGGCCTAGGCTCGCACGCGAAGGGCTCGGCAAACAACCCCTCCTTCCGAGCAAAAAGGATGCGCGAGGGTCGTACAAAAAGCTAGGGGAACTCCTGATCGCCCTCTCACTACGTGCGGAGGCTCGGGGGCTCTTCCTGCAACCTTGCCGAGACCCAACGGCCTAGGCTCGCACGCGAAGGGCTAGGCAAACAACCCCTCCTTCCGAGTGAAAAGGATGCGCGAGGGTCGTACAAAAAGCCAGGGGAACTCCTGATCGCCCTCTCGCTACGTGCGGAGGCTCGGGGGCTCTTCCTGCATCCTTACACCCTGAGGGTCGGAAAAACGCGACGAAAAAGGGCACCTAGCCCATTACGGTCTAGGGGTACGAAGGCTAGGCCATCTAGGGCCTCGACAGCCGCCCTAGGACGACAGAGTCAGGGACAACTATGGGCGAGCCCATACATGGCCGAGGCCCAGACAAGCGATTGCTTGGGATGCCCTAAGTCGTGTCCGAGACCATCTGGAGTTCTCTAAAGGGGATCCCACCATAGGGAGGCACCGAGCCCCTAGGGCCAATCGAACGCAGCCCCAGCACCGCTAGAGAAGCCTTATGGTACTTTTTTGAGCACGCTCTACGGACCACTAGCCGACTCCTCATCGAATGGGGCACGGGCCTCCACTCGGACTTACCCGATAAGCTCACCGGAAATGTCACCGCTTCATACCACCGAGGGTAGCCTGCCATGTTCCACCCCTCCTTCCAAGCGAAAAGGATGCACGAGGGTCGTACAAAAAGCCAGGGAAACTCCTGATCGCCCTCTCGCTCCGCGTGGAGGCTCGGGGGCTCTTCCTACAACCTTGCCGAGAGACCAGTGACCTAAGCTCGCACGCGAAGGGCTCGGCAAACAACCCCTCCTTTCGAGCGAAAAGGATGCGCGAGGGTCGCACAAAAAGCCAGGGGAAGTCCTGATCGCCCTCTCGCTTCGCGCGGAGGCTCGGGGGCTCTTCCTGCAACCTTGCCAAGACCCAGCGACCTAGGCTCGCACGCGCCAAGGGCTCGGCAAACAACCCCTCCTTCCAAACGAAAAGGATGCGCGAGGGTCGTTACAAAAATCCAGGGAACTCCCCGATCGCCTCTCGCTACATGCGGAGGCTCGGGGCTCTTCACGCAACCTTGCCGAGACCCAGTGCCTAGGCTCGCACGCCAAGGGCTCGGTAAAAACCCTCCTTCCGAGCGAAAAGGATGCGCGAGGGTCGTACAAAAAGCAGGGAACTCCCGATCGCCCTCTCGCTACGTCACGAGGCTCAGGGCTCTTCCTGCAACCTTGCCGAGACCCAAATGCCCTAGGCTCGCATACAAAGGGCTCGGCAAACAACCCCTCCTTCCGAGCGAAAAGGATGCGCGAGGGTCGTACTAAAAGCCGGGGAACTCCCCGATCACCCTCTCGCTCACGCAAGGGGATCGCACACGAGGGCTCAGCGAGCTCTGGGGCTCCTCCCGCACCCCAAATGAAAACAAGCGACCCGAGCTCGCTCTTATGGGTCTAGCAAATGCGATAGAGCACCTCACTCAACGAATAAAAAGCCCCTAAAGGAGTAAGCTCACTCCTCTAGGGCCTCAAGAGCTACACCCGGCCAGAGGCCTTCAGCACCCACCGGAATCGCAAGTATAAAACAAACCCGACAAGAGCCACTAAGAAACAAAAAGTCTCAACAAAACCTCGGGGAGAGTATCCCACACTCCCGCCCGAGGCTCGGGGGCTACTATCGGATACCAGAAAATGGGGTACCCCAAGCAAAGATCGAAAAACTGCTTAGACCCTAAAAATAGAACCAACGGAATAAACAAATGAGGTCTCGGCCAAATCTCCGATTCGCCCCGAGACCCACATGCGAGCCCCATCGGAGCAAACGATTCTCCGACTACTTGAGAGACCGCCTCGCCCGAGGCCCCTCGTCGAGCCCCCTAAATCGAGAGCCCCCTCGCCCGGGGCCTCGGAAGAAGTGTTGATTCTCCGATTCGCGCGAGGCCGGCTCGGGACCAGCCCCGTGACCACCTCTTCGACCGAACTGCTCTGACCGAACGTCGCATCCAAGCGCCCAACCACTCCGACAGACGCACGATGGCACAAGATCAAATAAGTGACCGACTACACGCCAATCGCGTCAACCTCCCGCCATCTCGCGACGCAGACAGCGGGGGTTACCACCACCACTGTCTTGCCTAACTCCCCGCACCAAAGACATCACAACGTAGGGAGTCGAACGGGTTCTGTAGCCTCGGAATCGATGGACCGACCGCTCCGTCTCGCCCGAGCCCCCTCGACGGGCCTCGGATTCACTCGATCTTTCTCCGCCTCGCCCGTCCGCCTCGCCCGAGACCCCCCGGTAGGGCCTTGGACGAATTGGCCGCGCTTCACCTCGCCCGAGGCCGGGCTCGTCCCGCAACCTCGTCGCCTCCGCGTCAAAGGTCTCTCTGGCAGTATCGCGCATCCGATTAATGCGCCACAAGCACCCCCACGTAAGCCACGATCGGCAAGCTTGCGCCAGCAACAGAGCGACGGGACAACGGTCGAGATCACCTTTTTACCATCCCCACGACAACACAGTACCATATCCCAGTAGGCGCGACGTCTCGCCTTTATTCGCTGATGGCCGCCAAGACCCACATCCGCACTGGTCACTTCTCGTGAGCCTCGACTTGCAGCGAGCCCTCGACTAACAGCCCTCGGCTGCAACAGCCTCGGCAAGACGACCGGCCACGATGGCCACCGAGCCTCTGCCATCCACCAAGTCAACAAATGCGCAAAGATGTTACTTGCGCGATGAGACCATACCGATTAGACATCTATGGGAACTCCCACGACAACGCCATCTTTGCTCCCTGTGAGTAAATACGTTATCGAATAGTCCTTGCTCCACGTGTAGCTCTCTTATGTACTCTGGTTTCCTCCTGCGGCTATAAAAGGAGGCACCAGACCGCTTCTAGGGGCGGCGGATAGAGCCACGAATATCTCACGAACAACACGCCTCATTCGTAATTCATATCACCTCCCATCACGAGACACGAGACGAACTCCCTCTCTCGCCTAGCTTGTAACCCCTACTACGAGCACCCCCCTGCAAGGAATACAAGAACATCTTCTCGGATCGGACGTGGGGCATCCATTGCTTCAACCAAGATAAACCTTGTGTCTCTTTGCATCACCATCCTAATTGAGAGCACGCAAAGACAAATTCACTAGTCGGTTAAGGACCCCGGTTCCAAAACACCGACAACGATATATGTACAAAAGCGGCAAACAAAGACATGGAACACGGATCACAACCTTCCTTCTCCCCGGAAAATCACAAGGCGTCCTTGATGAGCCCAGAATTTACCTCCAGAACATAAGCTTTTGCGTTTTTCTTTTCAATGGAGTGCTCGTCGAAATGCAAGATGCCCGCATCTCCCCAATCCGCCTGTCCTCGCAGCTTCATGCAGCGAATCTAGGGCCAGACACGTGGCATGCACATCAAGGGGCCCGCTTGGCTCTCTTTTACCGTGGGACCCACCTTGACCCTAATCCAAATTAAAGAGAAGACTAAGGACTACTCCACCTACTAACCTCCCAAACAATTTTACTCACCAACAATCATGCATATTAATGGATAATCTTAAATCTTAACCCCTTCACTAAAAATGGTAAAAAAGGAGTAAATTCTGTACAGGCGGCGGGGCCCGCAGGTCAGGCAGAAATAACTGCGGTGCCATCTCCTGCGCTGAAGTAATAAAAGTTTTGGAGTTATAAAACCCTAGGGGTTCTTGCGTCAGTCTACATCTCCACCGTCGGCGTCTAGATCCAACGGTTCCTACGCCGCGGAGGCTCGTGCTTATCACTCCGCCGTCTCCTTCCTCGGGCTCGCTTCCCCACTGCTGATTACTGTGTTCTCTCTCTCCTCTCCCCATCCTCTTCTCCGAGCAGCTCGAAGCTTCCGGCGCCTGGAATGGCGGAATCGCTGCCCGATCAGAGTCCAATCTGAGCCTGGGCGTCCCCGAATCGTGCCTCCCCGTCCCGATCTTCCAGAATCCCGAAGAAATCGGTGTTGGAATGGAGGACTCCGCACCGATCGGGCTGCTGCCGTTCGATTCGGTGGTGCTTTGGCCTGGGCCGTCGGGAGAGCCACATCTTCTGTGACTGAGCTGTTCTTCTCGTGCTGGTTGGCACGGGCTTGGACCGTGCAGAGCGGTGCCTTACGCCGGAAGGAGGTAACAGGGGTGCGGCGTCTGTACGGGATTTCCATTTGGGGGTTTCGGCGTGTTCATTGTCTCAATTCTTTGTGATTTCTGTTCCTAGGGTTTGTTGAATGATGAGCGCCAGCTCCGTGGCTATGCGTGGGGAGATGGGCGGCGGGGGCGGCGAGGGAGGGGAGGAAGAGTTGGAGGACGAGCTCGAAGCGCTGCTCAGTTCCGGCGCCGGTGGCCAGCGGCGGCGACCAGCGGACGCGGGCGAGAGGGAGAGGGAGCGTGAGCTCAGCATGTTCCGGAGCGGCTCGGCGCCGCCGACCATAGAGGGTTCTCTGAACGCCATCAGCGGCCTGCTCCGCGGCGACGGAGAGGTGGCAGTGACGGCTGCCCCGATTCCTGTTGCTGAGGCGTTGAACGGGCATAGTGGCCTCCTCTCGGAGGAGGAGCTCCGGGCCGATCCAGCCTACCTGTCTTACTACTACTCTCACGGAAATCTTAACCCGAGGCTGCCGCCACCGGTGCTGTCCAAGGAGGATTGGCGGTCAACCCAGCGCCTGAAATCTGGGGTGGTTGGGGGGATTGGGGACAAGAGGAAGCCTATTCAGGAGGATGCCAGACAAGGGACGGGGACTGCAGTAGGGAGGTCTCTGTTCTCACAGCATCCTGGTTTTGAGCGGGACGAGGAAGCCATGAATGATGGGGTGGTGCTGCAGAGTGGGTGGATGTTGGAGGAGATGGGCTCATTGGTTTATCACTCGGTGGCAGCGTAGCTTTGCAGATATACTGCAGGTCTGATCTTATTTGGGTTGCAAAACTTGCTTCCTTTTTTATGTTGAATTTTAATTCAAAAGAAGGGTTAGCCTTAATAGCTTCTACTTGGTGCATTATTCTGGTAGCCACACTGCTATTAGTTGTTAACTTGTTATTTTAGTGTTATTATCCCATTGAGGTTCAATTTTAGTTTCGTTTTTTGGTTGTGCAGTTTTATCCAAACTGTTGTCTAGATGGTTTGGGCTGCTATAAGTTTCTGGTACTTGTTACTCACAATATATATACAATATATATGGAGTAGTGTGGGTTTTCTTACTTTTGGTTCAACTGGTAAGTCAACACAGTTCTGACGAATCAACACACTTGACTCATTCAGTTTAATCTGGGTAACAGTAGCACTTATGGGTTTAGAAATTTCTCTCTGAGTCTGTGTAAGTTTTGAATGCCTCAGTTCAAGCTCATGCATTGGGGATGACATGAATCAGATTCACTTAAAAAGCCAGGTGGTATAAATAAATATTATAATGGGCATGACCGAAGGTCTTGTGTCAAAGTGCATGCTTTCAGCATCATCTTGTTTTTTTTTTTGTATTTTTGTAGAATTTTCTAACAAGTTTCCTCATAAGGTTCAAGACAGGATAAAGCGTATCTTTGATACTTGCGTGTGTCTATATAATATTGCTATTAGACAACTATTATCATTTTTTGCTCTTTCTGTTTAGAGCGTGCAAGCTTTAATTTATACAACAATGTGCATTCTTACCATTTCTCCTTTATTGGTTTATGCTTCCATCTACCTGTGCCTTTCTACACCTTCTATCGTTCAGACATCTTATTTAGTTTATTATGGGTTGTTTCAGGACAATATTGGCCGCAGAACACCTACTTCAGAGCATCCCTCCCGCACGGCCAGTCGCAATTCTTTTCTTGACAATCAGGAGCCAGTGAATCCTGCTGAGAACCAATATGCTATGCATAATGATATTTTGGATGTGCATCATCCTATTGGAAACATGCAAAATGTCAGTGGTCTTCACAACCTTAACACATCCACATCTCAAACGTTTGCATCTATTATGGGTTCATCTGTTTCCAGAAATGCTACGCCAGATCCTCATTATGCTGCAAGGGTTCCTAGCCCTAGCCTTCCACCTGTTGGTGTTAGGATCACTTCAATGATAAGAAACTGAACTCCTCATCGCCATTCAACACTGTATCTTCAAAAGCAGTTGGGACTGATGATATTTTATCTGCATTGTCAAACATGAACTTATCAAAAAATGGTCCTCAGAATGATAATAACAACATCAGTCAATCGAACTTTCAGAGAGATATAAGTGATCAGCAGAAATTTTCACTTGACTCACAAGCAGCTCAAGTCCATAATAAGCAGCATTCTGTGATGTTAGAAACTGATGATGGATATTTGGGTATACCATCAATGTCACAATCATCCAATTCTTCATTTGCTGACGTTAATAACAGTGTTGCCGGTCTAGCAGAGTTTAGAAATAGTACCAACACAAGGTTAGATGGACATTTGGAAATGCAGAGATCTTCTAATTTGTCTGCTCGTTCATACCAGAAGTCCCCATCTTCTTCTAATGAAAGCCAAGGTGGTTCTCCTGCTCAACATCACAGTTTTGACAGTATAAATTCAGCCTTTTTTGAACTATGGGCTCAGTGGATACCCACTCAGCCCAGGATTGCCTTCTATGATGCCCCCTTTGTTTGAGAGTGCTGCTGCTGCATCTGCTATAGCCGCACTTGGTGCAGATTCAAGAAACCTTGGAAACAATAGTTTATCTTCACCTACATTGAGCCTAACTGATGCACATAACCTTGGTCGTGGTGGTAATCAAGCTCCCACAGGTCTGCAGTCTCCTCTTTCTGACCCTTTTATGTTCAATACTTGAAGGCAACTCAGTATGCAGCACAGGGAGCTGGCAGCTATGGTGATCTCTCCTTGGAAAGAGGTTACATGGGTAACTCATATGCTAATTTAAATGCAGTTCAAAAAGCTTATATTGAAGTCTTGCTTCAGCAGCAGAAACAATTTGAAATGCCACTTCTTGGTAAATCAACCGCTTCAAATCATGGGTATTATGGCAATTTGGCTTTTGGCATGGGCATGGCATACCCAGGAAGCCCATTGAGCAGTCCTGTTGCTTCTCAATCGGGTCCTGGCAGTCCACTTAGGCTTGGTGAGCGAAATCTGAGGTTTCCGTCTAACTTGAGAAACATAGGTGGCTGGAACTCTGATCCAAGTGGCTACATGAATGAGAACTTCCCATCCTCGCTTTTGGATGAATTTAAAAGTAACAAAGCCAGAAGTTTTGAGCTTGCTGAGATCGCTGGGCATGTGGTTGAGTTTAGGTATGCCTTGTCACATTGTACCTTTTCAGAATACTAGTATAAATGTCTCAGATTTGTTCAATGGCTCACTAATATCCTGATGGGCATTGTCTTGTATTTATTCCCTCCACAAATCTACATTTTCATTTCAGGGGTTAATGGTGTGGAACTTGCCGCCTTCACCCCCCCCACCAAAAAAAAAACAACATACACATGACACAGTTGTGTACACTAATTTGTGCATCGATACTTCATAGATAGTGGAAGATGCTTTGGTCACTGATTTTTTTAGAAAAAACTTTCTATAAGGATTAAGGTTCAGGACTAGTTTGGATGTGTGACATTTGTTGATCTGCATTGATTCTGCAGTGCTGACCAATATGGAAGTCGTTTCATACAGCAAAAACTTGAAACTGCCACAGTTGAAGAAAAGAACATGGTCTTTGAGGAGATCATGCCTCATGCACTATCATTGATGACTGATGTGTTTGGAAATTATGTAGTACAGAAGGTATTCTTCTCCTACACTCTATGGAGCATCTCTCTGTTAGGATTGGAATACCTTATTGTTTCACCAGTTCTCCAAGCATGTTTCAATGTTGATCAAGTATTTCATGGCTTACATGTCCTATTTTCCTAGTTTTTTGAGCATGGGAGTGCAGAACAACGGAGGGAGTTGGCTGATAAACTATTTGGACATGTATTAGCTCTCAGTCTTCAGATGTATGGATGCCGAGTTATCCAAAAGGTACTAAATGATTATCATCTGTACTTGCTCGCCACTCGATATAATCACTGCAAAGAGTTCTTTCTTGTGGGGCCTCTCCTTTTTCCTTTTAAAACACACACTTTGGTTATCTGACCCTATATGCACATCACTGAAGGCAATAGAGGTGGTTGATCTGGACCAAAAACAAAGATGGTTACTGAGCTTGATAGTCATATCATGAAATGTGTACGTGATCAAAATGGAAACCATGTTATCCAGAAATGTATTGAATGTGTCCCAGAAGATTCTATCCAGTTTATAATATCAACATTCTATGGTCATGTTGTTCCATTATCAACCCATCCTTATGGCTGCAGAGTCATACAGGTATACCTTTAGGTTGTGCACCTACATGCAAGTGTTCTATCCCTTGTGTTAATGAGATTCACAGTTTTCTTTTCTCTATACAGAGAGTACTTGAGCACTGTGCTGATCAAAAAACACAGCAAATAGTTATGGACGAGATATTGCAATCTGTATGCATGTTGGCACAGGATCAATATGGAAATTATGTTGTCCAGGTTCAGTGCTGCTTTCCAATTTTTGAATTGGCACTTTTATTTACAATCATGAATAGCTATAGATATTTTTACCTTGGGTTTTTGTATTGCAATAAATATTTACAATATCTGTGGCATACAACCATCATTATGTATGTGTTGTTTTGTTTCTGTTTTGAGATCCTATTTGAAAAGTTAGTTCTTGAGAAGGCTCTCACCAGCGTTTCAATTGGCAGCCTGACTTACATTCTTTTTTAAGCACTGTAGGGGAGGCCCTGTTTTTTTTAACTATTTTTTTAAGACAATGTAAAACCAGGGCCAGAATAACAAAGCTTCACAAGTTCTACGTGGCCCAAAGGAAAAGATTGTAATAACTATAGAGATATAAACATTAGAATAAAAATAATCAGTGTTCTTGATCCACACAAGTAGCCAAGTAGATGGAGCAGAAACTTCAAGCAGGCTCATTCCTTCAGCAGATGCACATCTGCCTAAAATCTCTCTCTTCCAACTGTGTTTATTAGGGTAACTTTGTCAAGGATGCATGTTCCTTTGGAAATAAAGATGCCAAAACTCCAGAGGATCTGCTCTTTGAACGCCTTTCTACTGAAGGAAAACAATTGCCCTAACAGATTCCTTTCTGTTAATCAGTCCTCAGTTACTCTCGTATTTGAAACCAGTTGATGGTAAAGTTGACATATTGTGTCAATTTACAGTTAAAAACTGAAGAGAATTATGTTGACACGTTTCTATATCTTTTATAAATTGAAAAGTTTTGAGTGATGCAGCTGAAGTGACTTTTCAGCTAACCTTTTCTGGAGTTATTTCAGTATAATTCGGACCTGCGATAAATGATGCATAAAATCTAGATCAAACGATTCTCCACTGTTGTAAAATTAGGCATTAGCACTTGAATGTGCTGACCATCTTGTCTAGCGTTTATGGTGTTAACCAGCTATGCTTGGCTAGTATTTTGAAGCATGCTCTTGGTGAAGCATGTAAGTCGAACATAACTATTTCTCCCCAATCGCTCTTTTTACATCAACATAATCAAGTGGATATCTCCAGGATGTATTCTCTTCGCCTGAAACCTGCCAATGATTGGTAATGTTGATGGCATCATGTTAGTGTGGAAAAAAGGTGTTCTTTTTTTTTTTCTTAGAGGATGATACTACTCTACCAGGTTGTCTGATACAAACGGCATCTCACTAAGTGGGTTGGATACATTTTGTGGTTGATTGTTGTATTTTACTCCTCCATTCCAAATTATTAGACGTTTTGGCTTTTTTAGATACATATTTTTTTGCTATGCACCTAAGATATACACTATGTCTAGATACATAGCTAAAGCAATGTGTCTAGAAAAGCCAAAATTTCTTATAATTTGAAATGGAGGGAGTATTTATGATCTCTCTAGGCAAACTGACATTAATCCAAGAATATCTGGTATCACATGGCTACTTTTACTCGATTTGTTGCTGTTAGATCAAACTTTCTGTTAGAAAAACCTCCTGTAGTTGTTACCAGCGATGAGTTACCATACTGAAATTCCATTCATATGCAGCATGTTTTAGAGCACGGGAAGCCTCATGAAAGATCGATCATTATTGAGAAATTAGCTGGACAGATCATTCAGATGAGCCAACAGAAGTTTGCCTCGAACGTGGTTGAGAAGTGTCTAACATTTGGGGGACCTACAGAGCGAGAAGTTCTCATAAATGAAATGCTTGGGACCACTGATGAGAATGAACCTCTACAGGTGATTTTTTTTTTCTTATTACTTAATATGATTATGACTTGGAGTTTAATAATTCTAGATAGCAAGTTTTCTTGGTGCGAAAAAAAATTTAGCGTAGTTCTTGAAACTGCTTGTGCGGTTGTGCCACCTTGTGAATACTGTGTTGTGATTAGCATAGCAATTGGCACGTGGTCCCAGACATAATAATTTTGTTCACATCATAAATTTTTGAATAAAATATATTCAGCTGATCACAAGGGGATTTTTAGTCCTTTTTAGATGGCATATGAAACCAATAGGTTTTATGTATCTAAAGCTTTTTAAAGTAGAAATCTCAAGAACTGCAGGAAAAGATATGATATTTTGGATTCTAGTTTGTCAGTTTTCCATGGCTCCATGCTAATAATCTAGCAAACGCTGCATAAACAAGTTCGATAGTTAGATTGTTGCAAAATAACCTTGCATTTTTTTTGTCGGGTTACATATCATGTTTGCTAAAAATGTCAGCTTATTTGCTTACTTCTGAAAAAGAAAACTCAACACAGTCTAATCCTTCTTTCTCGACCTATTACAGGCCATGATGAAGGATCAGTTTGGTAACTATGTTGTACAGAAAGTACTCGAGACTTGTGACGACCAGCAACGTGAGTTGATCCTGTCACGGGTAAAGGTTCACTTAAATGCTCTGAAGAAATATACATATGGGAAGCACATAGTTGCTCGTGTAGAAAAACTTGTTGCCGCTGGTGGTAAGTTTCCCCATCCAACTTCATTCATTGAAAGAATTTGCTGAATATTTCTTTGATTAATTGGTATCCTTGCAATCTGAATCCAGAGAGGAGGATTGCACTTCAACCGCAAAATCCTTCTTAATGGCGTAAAGATGACCATGTACAGCTAACCATGGCTAGACAGATCTACCTTCTGCCTTCTGCTTTGGGCTGCTACAAGCCAAGTTTAAAAATAAACATGTTGTACTAAGAAGTCTGTACATTTTGTAGTTTGAGCTTATAGTCATGCAAAGATGAGGCTCAGACAGTTTTAATTTTACCAGATGTCGCTACGGAGAATAGGCGTTCTGTATAAGTTGTAGGTGTAAAGAGAGGAGGAAAGTCTATATTTTGTGACGAGACTGTACAAATTTGCGATCCTGCGAGAGTTAGCATCTGCTTAGGATAAAATTTTATTGCCCTCCTTGTTATTACTAATGGATGTTTGTAACACTGAATAACTGATGTAACGGTTCCAGCTTCTGAAGCCAGTTGCGTGTTTTGTATGGAACTGCTCTTTTTGTCAGATCCGGCATGTTCTGGGTCCTGAATTCAGCAGCATGCCAGTTTTCGTTTTTCAGTCGTCGTTTCATGGGGTGTCAGGGTTTTGTTTAAGCGCTGAGCTCGTCGTTTACCATCCTTAAGGCCCCTTTGGAACGCAAATTGTATAGGAATTTCACAGGAATCAGTTTATTTTCAGAGGGAAAACGCAGGGAACAGGAAAAATCCCCGCAATCAAGGGGGCCCTAAATTGGTCGTGAATTGTTGATCTCAAATACGAGGCCGTTGTAAAACTCGTGCCAGAATTGCTTGCGGCGTTACAGTAATTGATTGGATGTGCTATACTGCTTGCTTGGTGGTACGATGCTATCAAATATCTATCGGTGGAGCCGTGGAGGGCGATCTCAGTGGAAATGATAGCACTGTTTGGTGGGATTTTTTTTTTTATTCCAGCGTTTTTTTCTTTAAAATTGAATCGATTTCTGTGAAATTCCTACGTGATTCATATGAAATTCGCGTGTTCCAAACATACCCAGGCACTGGCGATCATATTCATGGCTAAATGCCAAACAGTTTTCGTTTTCCTTTCCTACTTAGGAAGGCACTGGCGATCATACTCATGCTAAATGCCAAACATTCCAACTTTCGAACCCTATACCCGTCCTCGGGGCGAGTTGCGTCTACGGCACCAGTGCGCCATGTGAAGGTTGGCAACCGCGCTCGTTTTCGGAGTTTCGGACAATTCCGTTCTCTGCTGAGTGCTGACACAGCAAACCAGAACCCCGGCAAGGCAACCCCAACTCCCGGCGGACCACTCCCGCAGTCCCGCACTCCCGCGTTCCAGCCCCATTTATCGTCTTCGTCTGTCCGTCACGGCACCGCGCCGCGCAGCGTCAGAACTCCCTTGCGGTCGCTCTCATGCCGTCCTGCACGCCTGCCAAGCAAAACACCACGATGCACTCTCCGAGCGACTCGCTCCACACCCACGCGCCAACGGGATCACCGTGACAACGTCAGAAACCCAGAAGAAGCCTGCGCCCGCGCCTAGCCTGCCCCACCCCGGGGGAATATGTTATGTTATCCCCACGCGGCGGCCGGCCCCACGACCCCACGGCGCCCGCCCCCTCCGCCCTCCCCTCATCCTCGTCAACCCGCCACACAGACATGGAAGACGACGACGACGCCGGCGCCGGCGCCGGCTTCGGCGCGTGCGGCCGCGTGCTCGAGTGGGAGCACGGCCTCCCCACGGAGGAGGAGCTAACGCCGCTCTCGCACCCGCTCGTCCCTCCGGCGCTCGCCGCCGCGTTCCGGATCGACGTCAGGGGCACCGCCTTCGACTGCCCCGCCTTCGCGCACAACTCCCCCACCTCTCACCTGTCCTTCCGCTGCGACGACGAGGACGAGGACGATGAGGAGGAGGGGGAGGGGGTGGGGGAGGAGGAGAGCGAGGACGCCACCTCCGGAAGCGGCTCGTGCCGAGGCGGGACTGGGAGGGCCGGGAAGAAGGCGAGGATGGTGTGGACGCCGGAGCTGCACCACCGGTTCGTCGAGGCGGTGGCGCACCTCGGCGACAAGGGCGCCGTGCCCAAGGCCATCGTGCGCCTCGCATGACGTCGAGGGCCTCACCCGCGAGAACGTCGCCAGCCACCTCCAGAAGTACCGCATCTACCTCAAGCGCACGCGCAGCCCCGGAAAGCCGCAGCCTCCTCCGGCCTTCCCGCCGGCATACGGTTCCCCCTTCAGGCCCCAACATCCCTCTGACACCTCCAGCCGGAGCGATTACAGCGCGTCCTCCACTTCTCCTGCCGCGACAGCGAGAAGCTCGAACGCGACAAAGCAGTAAGCTCTATGGTTTTCAATTTTGAATGCATACCGTACCAAGAAAAGAGTAAACCACTCGAAAAATATTTGGATTCATTTCGAGACATTCAAGTACACAGGTGCACGATATATGTATGCTTGTTCCAAGTTCCATTACACGCTTACATTCGGGTCTCTATTTGATTTGCATTGGCTGTTCGGAGATACAAATAGTATCCTCCACCTTTGCATTAAGCTTGCTTTGATTACTTTGTACAATTTTTTTTGGCGATTTATGGGTAGTTTGGTACCCTAAAGCTAACACATATGTCAGCATTCTATATTGGGTTATTTCAAAGCTATCTTTTATGTTTGGCATAGATGACCCATCATTGTCAAATCAAAAGTTTATTAGTTAGATTGAAGAAATTAGTAGTACCAATTTTCAGTAAATCTCGTGGTGGGCAGATAGTGGAGCAACTCTATGCCCGCGCTGCAAACTTGCCTGAGAGAGCTGATTAGTTATTTCAACTCTTTTGGAACTTGTGTTGCCTTAACGTAGGGTACTGAGTTTTTTTTTATCTGATGCTGATGTGTTGGGTACTTGTGTGTATCGGTGGTACCAGGGTAAGTGACCAGAAAAAATTAGCCTCGCAACAGGAAAGGGCAGGATCTGGTTTCTCAAGAAAGGGGCCGATTTTCCAACTTCCCGTAATTTTCAGAATTTTGGATTTCTTCCTTCTGCAGTTTTGGACTTCAGTTACAGACTAGAGCACTCTTATAGCCTTGTTTGATGCATGCGTATTCACTTCAATCCACATATGTTGGAGTGGAATGGAATAGAATTTAGTTTAATTCCACTCCAATCCACTTCAACACATGTGGATTGAGATGAATACATGTGCATCCAAACAAGGCCTGGGAAGGGTTTCCATCTTTAGAGGTGCTTTGCTGTGCTGATTTCATAGGATTAAAAAGCATATTAGGCAGTGGATTTTTCATATTGGTGTTTGCACTACTGGCAACGAGCCTACATGAACCCTTTTAGTTCAGCAATGCCCACTTTCTTTTGAAAGGGGTGTAGCAATGCCCTCACATTCTTGGAGCTAGCCAAGGCAAAGCGGCTACAATTTTCCACTTATGCGGCATTTCTTTTTGAAACTAACGTATACATGGTGACTGATTTTCTTTGCCTTGATTTTATGGCAACTGCTTAGCTCCAGGCTGTGGGATGGAAACGGGCCAGACAAGCGTAAGACATTCTGAGAAAGCTCATGGAAACTAGCACGCCATGTTCAGTTAGCCCGTAAGATGTTTCTCAGGAAAGAGGTATTGTCCACAGTGAAGCGAGTGAAGTACAGCAAATAAATATGAGTAAATGACGATGTTGCCGAAATCATTGGAACATCGACCGGTAGACCTACGACTGAAAGACCGGTAATACAGCAATGCCCACTAAAGTTTTGTGAGATTTTCTAGAGCTTTTGTTATCTGAATGTAAAAGTTAATTTGTGTGGCTCAAGTATTGTAAATTCTCCATCACGTCTTACAGTATGAGACTAGTGTGCATGTATCCTAATGCAACACCATAATGTTAGTATTTTCTTATTAAGCTGCTGACAAATTCCGTTATTCCTTATGTCATAGATGGATTCGGCAAACTCGAGAAGCTTTAGTGTCTGCAATATTGTGATCATGTACAGCCTTCAAAGTTGAAAACCATTATGCCATGGTTCCACCAAGGAGTGCGTCTCTAGTAGACTTGATCATAGGCCACCTGACCAAACCAGCCTGACCATTTATCGGGCGGGCTTGGACCATATAATTTTGGACCCATGTCTGACCCAATCCCAAACGGACTCTAACATAGTACGATTGAGAAATAGCCCGACCTAATCTGGCCTGATGTGTCTCTCGGTTGGGCATGGGCGAAAAACTTGACCTGGCATTTTCTTCCAGTCCGACTCAAGCCCGATCTAACCCAACATTTAATTAGGTTATTATCCAGGGGCAAATCTCGGCAGTGTTCTTGCCTCTGATGACCATTCTGGCTGCCAGAGCAGCAAGGCCCAGGCATGTCCTGCGGCGTTGGTTTTTACTAGCAAGAAGTCCTTTTTTTTTGCAATTCAACTATTATCCAAGTTTATGTTTAACCACGTAACTGTAAAACCATAAATATTTGACAACCAAAATATCAGTACTGAATTTTTTTTGGCCATCTATCTACTGAACACTTGACTTCCATACCATGAAAAACCTAATATGTTTTAGTGAAAAATTGATTATCATACATTATGGATTGTCTTAGTCAATGTCAGGTACAATATTGTACAAAATATTTACTCCCTCCATTCTAAATTATACCTCCATTCTAAATTATAAGACGTTTTGAATTTTCTAGATACATAGCTATGCTATGCACTTAGATATATAATATCTCTATAGATACATAGTTAAAGCACATATCTAGAAAAATCAAAATGTCTTATAATTTAAAATGGAGGTAATAGTTAATTAACCAACAAATGTGATTACGGGCAATAAAATACTAAGAATAGGAGAAAATACCGATCACTTAAGATACATGCCTGGTTTTATGTTTTTGATTAAAATACATTATTTATAAACAAGTTTAGTACTGGTTTTATGTTTTTGATTAAAATACATTATTTATGAATTTTTAGAGAAAACCTATTTTTATTATTTTCAAAAACATTGATCCACCTTTGAAACCAGTTAAATGACCATATTTATCTAACAATAATAGTCTGCTGGTCAAATATTTCTGATTTTAGAGTTGCATGGTCAAATAGTTCCAACGCCTCTTTCAGATGGCAGAAGCGCGGCGAAGCGTGGCTGGCACCGTGTGCGCCGCGCATCGCTACGCTCGCCGCTCGGGGAGGCGGCGGCGAAGGGCAGCTACTGAGCTGAGCTGCACCACGTTAGCTTCCCCTAATTCTTTGAGTGAGTCAGTCCCCCGTGGCCTCTATTCGTCGAGGGTTCCATCGGAGCGGGGCGCCGCCGTCTGCGGATGACGAGCGGGCGCGCGCTAGTCCACCATGCATGGCCAAATCTGTCGCCGCGCGGCGCCAGAGCGTTTCGTCAGCCGCCGCTGTGGGCTGTGGCAAACTTGCTGTCTTCGATCACAATCCTTGAGCCCCTGGTCAGTGGCCAACTTCCAGCCGGTATCTCGGGAAAGCTAGATCGATCCCTGGCATAATCTATGGTCTCCAAAACACAGCTAGTCAGCTAGGCTTGTTGAATTCTGAATGGAATAGTGTAGGTGAACGTCAGAAACCAGCTGTCTGGCATGACATTACAAGCAAAAATGAGTCAGAACTGAGCCTGAGTTCATCGGATCTAGCCGACTAGCCCTCATCTTCCCTGAAGCCCTAAAATGGACGTGTGAGTGTGAAGCGATTGAATCCAAGGCCACAAGCATGTGCAACTTATTATCGTGACTTTTAGTTCACGTAAGCGCAAATTACCCTGATCTGGGTGCCTGCCTGGCAATATTCAGTCGAACTGCGTGGGTGGGATGGGATCATGGTATCTACCCCCAATGCGTAAGGAAGGAAATGAACGTAAGATAATCTAGTGTTTAAAGATAAAGAGGTCAGTACCTTTATCTATTTAGCCAATCATTGTTGTAAGATTGGAATAGCTCAACCACTCTTTGACTGAAGCAATTACAAAGGCAGCTGATCTCTAGAGTTCCAATCATAGTCAAAATTTAAAGATACTTGGATTGTGAAGTGAGAAGCGTTACTCTCTGAGATCGATGGTTGATGAGTTGACTTGGCCGGTGTTGTAAACAAAGAAACAGTAAATACATTAAAAAAACTGCAGCTATTGTAACATTAATTTCTTTTTGTGAGATGGGTGTTGCTGCAGCGTGAGGACATAAGGAGATGATTCAGAAATCAGAAGACGTCCAAAGCATTAGAGGTTGTCAGCCTAGATATGCTCGCTAAGAATAGATGTAAAAGCAATAATAGATTAATATACTTTGCTTGTTAGCTTTCTATATAATTAAAGTGTGCAATTTCCCTTTATATGATAATCAAGAATTGAGCTGAAAACTCTCTAAGAATTGGCTGTACGTTGTTGCTAAGGTCGATTTTTCCCTTAAAATCAAGAAGTACCAAATAACTTGCCCTATTTCAAAAACAAACAAAAAAGACAATCTACAGCTATTTTGACATATAAATCTGCCACTTTTTGGTCAACGGCCTCGTGGCACCGACGCGTGGAGCTTCATTATCGATCATGTGGTCTTGAGGTTGCAGACTTTTTAGAATAGTCGTTAACATATGTTTATGTTTGCTGTACTTGATTTATGAATACATTTTAAATACTCCACCGAAAATCGGCGCCGACTAGGTCCGCCGTCCTTTGGTTAGATCCTCCGATTGAAACAATAAAGAAGAAGGAGAAGATCAGTACTACTGCTTCCCAGGGCAGCAGTTAACAAATCATGTAGGCAGCATAATGATTGTTCATTGGCGGGTTCGGGTGTGTGCGTGAGTTATATGCGCATATTTGCATCTTCGCGTTTCTCCCGAGTCGTCGCCTCCTGTTCCTGTCCTCCTCTCCTCATACTAGTCGTCTGCATGCCCATGCCCATCCATTCTGGCCGTCAACTGCGTGCACAGCTCGACCAAGAATACAACAGCAATAGGTCTCCGTCCGATCGGTGGCCACCGAATGCGGCCAGCGCCGAGTGCGTCTTGACGATCCCAGGGATTATATTCAAAATAATACGAAGAGATAACGATGGTTGACTGAAATTAAACCCCAGCTGCACGATGCGTGCTTTGCTTAGATAAGCCTTCGCACGCACAGGATTAGCGACTGCTCGTCACTGATGTTAGGGTTTAAAAAAAGCACGTCCTTGCTGTAGCCGGAGCCCGACCTACCTACTAACTACTGGTAGGCTGTTGCTGCTTTGACCAGCAATTAGCTTGTTTCTGAGGCATGGTTTGCGCAAATGCGCAATAGAGTAATCAAAGTATTGTAATCTAGTTTCGAGCCATGTGAATTACGCCAATCCGCCTCCTGAGTAGGGCGGCAGCAGGGGCATTTCTTTTTATTTGCTTGTAGGTTCTTCTTTCGAGATGCCTTTACAAATGCTTCTTTATGCTCGCCTGATCAGTGAACTACCAATTTGTTTATGGCCTCATGCAACAACTAATCTGCGGTGATTTGTATAAGCATGTGAACGTCAAGTGTTGGGCGCGATGCCACTAAGAGCAATGGTAGTGTATAACTGAATTCAGTCAGTTACCAAAAAGGGCTCTGAATGCCACGGTTTTCTTACTTCGGTAGTACACCTTCGTAGGTTAGACCTACCTTTTAAACTATTATAGTTTTCATAGTATTAACTCGGTTGCCATGCCATTATTTACTAATGTGAAGGAGAGTTAAGGTCAAGTACATTTATTTTTATAGATGATCTTATGCAATGCCAAGTAATCATGAGATGATTGAACAAACCAATTCATATAAGTTATCTTTAAGTGTATTATAGTAATTCAATTATTTTTAATTTGTGCAATCAACAAAGGTAAGTTTGTGAGTTGCACACTAATGTTCTTTTTCTCAAATACGCAAAAGGTTTGCGCATCATTGTATTAAGATTGAGAAAATTGAGTTTTTATATCGACGCGCCACTACGTGGCGCAAGTTACACACTAATGTTAAATCATACTCTCTTTGTCCCTAAATAAATCAATTTCTAGAAAAAAATTCCAAGATTTATTACACCAAATTAGATATCATTAGATACACCATGAAATATATTTTCATAATATATTCATCATAGTTTTTAAGGCGGTAAGGCGAGGCGTGGTGACCCACCCGTTTTAGACACCTAGGCGAATTAGGCGCGCGGCGAGGCGACGTCATACACATACACTCATGTACATTAGAGCAGGATAAACATAAATTTATACGTACCTTTTTACTGCCAATTTTAGAGCCTATGCACAAGCAGCCACCACCCACACTACCCAAAGCAGTTTATACCCATCCAAGCACAAGTAGCATACCACATCAGAGGAGTATATCCAAGTCCAAGATCCAAGGAAGCGTAAGCAATATAGTTCAGACTTCTGAACAGAGGATGGAAAGGAGAGGAAGAACAGAGGAAGGAAGTGCGATGAAGAGCAGAGTAGAGGAGGGGAGAGGAGAAGAAGTGGTACTTGTGAGCCGATGTGAAGGGTCCTGAGCTGCTGGTAGGAATCGAGCAGAGGAAGGAGACACTGAGTCGCAGCAGGATGACGGAGGCTGACGGAGCGGAGGTTGAAGACGCAAATCGGTGGGGGGCGCCGTGAGGTCGCAGCAGGAGCCGCGAATCTGCGGAGCGGAAGGGGCGGGGTCGACTCAGGTGCTCCAGCCGCCATTTTCTCTTCCCTCCTCTCCTCTCTTTCTCTCCCCTCTCTCTCTCTCTCAATTGGCGAGCAGCAGGGATGGCCCTTCTCCCGCACGCGACGCCTTTTCCGCCTACGCGCTTCTTTTCCCCTGCGTGCGACACGTTTTCCTCCTGCGCACCCCGTCTCCCATGCGCGCGGAAACCTTTTCCTCCCGCGCGCACCCCTTTCCCTCCCGTGCATGGCGCCTTTTCGCGTGTGAGGCGTCCGTCCGACGCCTTGGCGACGCCTTGGCGACGCCTCGGCGGGCTGAGGCAACGCCATACGCACGGAAGCCACGGCGAGCCCGACGCCGCACTTGGGAAATCGCCCAGACGCCTAGGTGACGCCTAGTCGTCGCCTAGGCAATGCCTTAAGAACTATGGTGTTCATTATGAGTCATAAGTATTGTTGCCCTTTGCTATAAATTTGGTCAAACTTAAAAAAGTTTGACTTAAGATAAATTTAGGAATCGAGTTATTTAGAGAGACGGAGGGTGTCTCATATTTCTAAATTTTTGCTCATAAGATGGTTGCTTCGTAGAACAACATCCTCTTTCTCTCACTTTCTTCTCTCTCGTTCAGTGCAAAAGTGATCCTAAGGAATATGGTTCAATTGTAACACTAGAGCTACCGAACCGAGCAAAAACAAAAAATCTTGAGTTCGATTCTTTAATTAGGTTTGAACAGAGGGAACATAAAAAAAAACCAATGAGGCCACATCAGTGAAACTATAATCACTACCATTAAAGTATTCCATACTTCCAAAAAGAGTATCATCTAGCAATTATCGATTTATCGTGTAGATTAGTATCAAGGAAAATAACCTAGATGCCCCTCTTTAGCGGTAGACGACATTTGCATGCGTGGTGTGTGTAATCGCCATTTCGCCTCTAATGAATTTTGCATGCACTAAGGTCAGTTGTTGTATGTAGTAAATAAATTAAAGAAAGCATGACCATCTACAGATGGTGTCAATCTAGATGTGCCACATCAACACATCCTCCCTCTGTCTCAGATAAGTGTTACTCTTTCTCAACTTTAACTAGATTTATAAAAAAAAATAGCAAATTTTATATCTCTAAATAAGTTTTAAAATAGATTTAATGATTCATCTTATATATATTTGGTCAAAATTAAAATTGTTTGACTAGTTGAGAAATGAGAATGACAACGAAGAGTATTCTTAAGAAGCTAAAATGATGCTCCTATAGTACTACTACTCTTTTGTTGGACAGATTTTGAAGGGAAGGCTAGGATGACACTTTTGTTGGGAGCCACGGCGGGTTACAAACTTTACTCAGACCGGATGAATTTCAATTTCAAAGAATCAATCGTACTTATATATTATTATACAATCCTTGCTTTCTCGCGATATATATTTATGTATTTGTGTACACCGGGGGGACCGAGTCCCCACATGTCGGCGTCAAGCCGCTGACAGCCACCCCAACGCGCAAACCAATCAACGATTTCGTTTCAACTATTGCTGCTGCTACTACACTACAGTCGTGTGTTGTCTCCTTCCTTCCTAACCCGTTGAACGCAGCAGCAGCAGCACCACCACCACCCCGTTCTAACTTCTACTTCTACTACCGGCCCAAAAAAATCAACTCTTCAAATCAAAGCTTTGACAAACGCACGCAGGCGAAGAGGAAGAAGAAAGAAACGCCCAACTGCCACGTCCGATCCGATCGAGCGAGCGAGGGCGAGAAGGCGTTGAACGGTTCAATTCAACCGAGACGGACGGAGCCTCGCCGTCGCTCCTCGTACCAGCAGATGCAGCTGAGCGCGACGAGCACCTCCACGATGGCCGCCTCGGCCTTGTCCTTGTCCGCCCACAGCAGCGTCTGCAGCGCGTACACGCGCGGCGCGCCGTCGAACCGGCGCCTCCGGTCCATGTTCCGCTCCGCCTGCCACTGCACCGTGTCGCGCGCCATCGGGCCCAGCCACGCCATGATGCGGTCCACGGCGTCCTTCCACCCGCGCGCCAGGGCCTCGTCCAGCTGGCCCGGGTCGCGCCACCACTCCCGGAGCTTGGACCGCACCGCCGCGCGGAGCTTCGCGGGGAGCATCTCGTACATCTCGGCGCGCTCCGCGGAGGCCTCCTCCTGGCGGCCTTCGGCCTCCATCCGCAGCAGCTCCTCCGCGGACACGATCACGTTCGCGTACTGCTGGTCCAGCCCCGCGCCGCCGACGGTGCTGGGCGGCGCGTCGAGGAGCTTGCGCCAGTTGGAGGGGGACTTCTGCTGGCCCGGCGGGGGACGCCCGATGATCGGGCACGAGTTGCTCGTCATCGGCGGGTGCACGCGGGACGGGCCGTCCCGACGCGTGATCGGCCCGGACGACGCCTTCGCCTTCCCCGATCGCGGGTGCAGCAGCTTCGACAGCCGGGTCTGGACGCTGTCCGTGGTGGCCGACGGCAGCGGCGGCGGGAGGCCAGGGACGAATGGGCCGAAGATGGAGCAGATGCGGACGAACACCGCGCAGGCGGCGCGCGCCATGAGGCCGACGGCCTTCTTGTAGCTCTGGTTCCACAGGGACTCCTCCTTGAGGCGCTTCACCTTGAGCTGCTGCGTCTTGAGCTCCTGCAGGAGCGACTCCGCGCCGGGTGAATCCCCGGCCAGTTGTTGCTGCTGCTGCTGGGCCGCCGCCGCCGCCGCCGCCGCCGCAGCCGCCTGTGGGTGCTGTGGGATCGGGCCGCTGAGGCGGCTCCATCCTCGGACGCTCATCTTCCGCTCGGCGGACTCCAGCTCGTCGAGCGCCTCCATCTCGGAGCAGAGCCTGGCCGTGGCGGCGACGAGGCGCTCCATCTTCTTGGCCTTCACCCTGAACCCCTTGGCCACGAGCGGGTCGAGGCTCGCGTCGGGGGCGCCGGCCTTGAGGCAGGCGTACACGCCGCCGAAGTCGATGCCGCACCGCAGGCCGAGGCGCGCGACGGCGGCTGCCGCGGCGTCCAGCGACACGACCAGCTCGGCGCAGGCCAGCCTGAGGAGGAACGCCTGGTCGGTGGAGTTGAGGTACACCACGCCCGGCGAGCGCATGGCGTCGGAGCGCAGCCGGGAGACCTCCTGGTCCGACAATGACCGGTGCAGCGACAGCAGCTTGGACATGGCCGCCGCCGCCTCGAACGCCAGGATCCCCAGCGACGCCTGCGGCCCCGCCGGCAGCCGCAGGTAGACGGGCAGCCACGGCTTCTGCACAACCATGGGTGAACTATATATGATGAATCCCCCTCGCTCTCTTAGTTCACAATCCTGCAACGCCCCTGCCTGATCGAAGCTCCCCGCCTGCTCTCCTCAATGGCTTGTTATACCACCGGACATGAAGAAGGGATTCCGCTGGGCAGGCAGCTAGGTAGAGCTTCAGCGCTGTCGGCCGAGGCCTCGCTGGTGCTGTTCGCTGGTACTCCACGATCCCTCCACGCGGTTTTGCGCCCGGTACGGTCTGGTTGGGTTGGTAATTCGGTATGGGTGACGGAGCCTCAGCCTCTTATATATCGGCGCTGGTGGTGCTGTTCTGGCTTTAGCTCTTTCGCGCTGGGGTAGAGAGGAGAGAAAGGCGCCCGCGAACTTATTGCCGCTGCCCCTGCGGAGAGCAGATATAACAGACAGACGGGGAAGGAGACAGAGGTGGCGACGGCGACGGCGATGGTGTGTGTAAATAAGTAGCCAAGCACGAGGAGGAAGACACGGTCGTCCCGTGGGAATGCCGGGCCCGAATGGTGGGCGCGCGTTGGTTGAAGCGTTTGATTGGGGAGCGCCGGATTTGTTTATTTCCGGGACCGGGTGGGGTGGGGGTTCGCGAGCTCGTGTGTTATTTTAAGAGCAGGCCCGGGATCGGTTTGTCCTGGCTCAGTCCGAGATTACGGATACCACTGCAAAAACAATGCTCTGTGTGCGACCAAAACTTGATTCTGATTGGAGTGTAAGACCAGGATTCAGGAGGGCCGATTCCGGCGGAATTTTTCATTTCGTTCCATTTCACAGGATTTGCGATATTACTACTATTTCTTTTTCTTTAGACCAAACGCAGTTCGGTCCTGCTTTGCTGAAACTATGTTATGCTGGAACACAAATACACACACAGCACACATGGTTGCGGTTGACCGTTATCTGGAAGAACGAACGGCGGGAATTCGGAGGTTTTACTATGCGTTCGTTCAAACCCGAATGCGCGTGGACGTCGCTTGCTTCGTGAGTGAATCTACATAGCTGCGTTCACATAGTGTAATACTATTATCGCCCATGCCTTCTGGTCTCTGCTTATAAATCTCTGGAAGCTAGAGCACATGGCCGGAACGAGCTTTCGGTTGAATATTTGCATATGCACAAATAAAGGCACCTAAGCAAGTGCATGTTTTGCTTAAGAATTAAGCTCCAATATACTAAGTTGGACGATTAGTATAGCTGCATGGAAGAAAAGTGCCAAGGTAATTTGTAAGTCTAATATAAAGTCGTTGTCATTGGTTAATACTGTTCCATTTCTCTTGTGAAAAAGAAGAGACCCCAGTAAAGCCTAAAACTGCATTGGAAAAATTTAGAAAAATATGCTACGAGGATCCCATTATCTTCTACATATAAACTCCCCTTTCCAAACTTATATAGCTGCGAATTTGTAGATGACGTTTAGAAGAGGCTCCCATGTTCCAAGCGGCGGTGACCTAGGGGCGAATCCCCGCCACCCCACCCCACCCCACCCCAATCTGGCCTGCCCTGTATTAGATTCATTCCTGTTGTACGACATAACTCCGTCTGGCCTGCCCCGCCCTCTGGATTTTAGAGGGGGCTTGTTTGGCAACATCAAAAGTTAAAATATATTGTGATAGGTATACACGGTTTGTCTCTCACTCCCTAAATATAAAGTGTTTTGGTTTTGTATAAGTCAAACTTCTTTTAACTCTTAACAATTTTTTATAGAGAAATACATCAACATCTACAATATCAAAATACTTTATTTGCTTTTGTAGATGAAATCAATATTTTTATGGATTTAGTTGAAACTATAGAAGTTTGACAAAATACAAAACTAAAACACATTACCTTTTGGAAGGAACAGAGGAACAATGAAAAATAGATTGAGCATTTAGCTTCAACATACTTGCACATGAGAATTTTTCCACCGTGAGGTTTTGCAAAAGAAAAAGAGTAAGCTCCTCTTGTATACCTGTTACACTATGATATATTATTTTGTAGTTTCAAACACTCATCAAAATTTATTTTAGAGGAATCCATCCTTTGGGTTGATCTTGTTTATTTAGCCGTAAAAGTCAACCTGCTTTACCGTAAGAAAGGTCAATCTATCTTAACGACGACCAACTTCGAGTGACGGGATGGCAGGACTGAACATGCAAGTCTACAGCTGCTGTCTCCACCTTTATTACGCACGTCTATGTGGAAATTTCAACCAGAACAAGTCTTATTCCCATTATTAATAGGCAATTAATTCGACAATAATAACCTGTGTAAAGTCAGTACGACGCACATTTCTCTTGGAAAATCGCTGGTTCCTGTTGTCCGTTCATTTTTTTGTAAAGGCAGAAACCTTCCACTTCTTTGGTCAGACCAACTTGTGGCCTGCCTTGGTCATGTGTCTTTGAGGACTGTTTTGCGTCATCGGCTAGCGCTCTCATGGGTTGAATAAATGTCAAAATATGAAGGTACTGCATATAAAATCAAGAAGAACATTTGTTACTTCCTCTGTTCTACCTTGTAAAACGTTTTGACTTTTCTAAATACACTTTTTTACTATGTATTTAGACATAGTGTATATCTAAGTGCATAGCAAAAAATATGTATTTAGAAAAATTAAATAGTCTTATAATTTAGAACGGAGGGAATACTATCTAATTGTTCTTTGGATATCGCTTTATCAGCCATGGGCTTTTAGTACACATTTTTTCATGATATGATACCACCATGGACAATATCAAAAACCATGTAAACAAATCTCATAGATAAAACTAAACAATAACATAAAGCAAAGACCATTCAAGACTCAAAATTCTTTAAGTACAAAAGATGACTGTAGCAAATGTTACAGAAAAACTAAATAACAACATTAAAACAAATCTCATAGATATGAAACCACAGTGAACAACATCAATGATGAATTATAAGGCATGTTTGTAACTCTTGCCCAGCACTATTTTACCTTGCTGAGCTAGGAATTAAATTAGGCAACGCGTTTGGATCCCTAACATGCTTACCTCGGTTTCTGCACCAGGAAGCTTTTCCTTGCTCCTACGGGTGAGCCAAATTGGATTGTCTAGGTTGGCAAGCTTTTCCTTACTTAGTGCAGCACGGTGAGGCAAGGCCCAAAAAAGTTCCAAACACACCAAAAAATATAGTGAAGTAAACTGAAATTTCCTTGTCCCACTGATGTATACAACGGGTGCTCGAAACCCATGGGCGACCCTATGAGACGGGTGCAAAAACTTCACATGCGGGGTCTTGTGAGGATGGGTGTGATAACATAGAATGGGTATGATAAAATTTAGGGTCTTAATCGTGCGACAGCTTGGCTTCACCTACACCATACAGGACCTCTTGTAATCCCATCTTGAGTCCCTAAGGATTGGTCAAGATTGGTACTACTTCACAACATTCATTTTCTCAAAACCTGCTGGTTCTTGGCATGGTACACTTTAGTGATCTCATAATCTATCTCATGTAATGCCAAGCAATTTTTTGTGATGGGGAGAGAGGGGGTGAGAGAACGATTTCAATGTTTTCACAATGCAAGTGTCTTGAGCAAAAATTCGGAACTATTAGACAACTATTATACCCTTGTACCGATGAGTGGTTATATGCAACTCACATCATTTCTTTGTTCTACACACAAACTAAAAGAATGGTATGGGACAATTTAAAAGACAACTAGCATAGAGGCTGTATACGTTAATTTAAAAGACAACTAGCATAGAGGCTGTATACGTTAAGTAGACAAGGTACTTTGCTTTTGGTTATGCACCAAGTCGCCTCAACTCTTGATTTTTTTTTGAATAACTCTTGATATGTTAGGTTGCACCATGTAGCCTATAAAAAATATCAATATACCGTCTATATATAAGGTGACTTTGTCACCGATATAATTGCCCTAAGTACCCTAATTGCTTTTGCTTTGTTTTCAAACGAGACTAGAGCGCCGACGTGCATGCCTTTGTCTAGGCCCCAAAAGTAATTCCTACAGATTGAGAACAAGATTACTGATATTTACCATATACAGCATATATAATATACCCCATGTTGTCAATGATTACGTCGTCCATTGAGAGAATAGCGCCAATTCACCGAATCAACATGGGTAGGATGCTTCCCTAAAAAAACATGGGTAGGATGCTGCTAATGGCAGCACAGTATGTTCCCATGACCCTATTTCTTTGAACCGATCAGAGTTGAGTTTTTTTTTACTGCGGTTGCCATGTAGTTAAATGTGTAGTCGTCGACAGACATCAAGTCGTGTTGACGACGAGGGACGTGTCTCGGATGCTCACGTCTTTGTCCTTGCTAAATTTCCATGCCATTTGTCTGATCAAACACTTGCTCGTTTGGTCCGATTTTTATTTGGCTCAGACTTCTTACTATTATTACCATGCATGGAGAAACCAGAGTCAACAAAGTAAATGATAGTGATCCCATCAATTTCTATAGTTTATTTTGGGAAGAAGAAAAAAAATAGTTGTTCTACAGTTTGCAAAGAAAACGAATGGCTTGTTTGGTATAGCTCACCTTCACGAGTGAATCAACTTTTGTTGGCTTTGACTTGAAAATGGGCTTTGGTGGTAGAGCTGAATCATTTTTGGTGAATCGTTTGGTAAAACTGGTATGCAAAATAGTGAAACACCCATAATACCTCTATTTCTTTTTTGCATTTTCTTTTTCTTTGTCTTCTTTTCTTTCCTCTTTCATTCCACCTTATCCGCTCATGCGGTACCTACGCACGCACCTTGCCTGACTACGCCCAAATCTCCGGCCCCATCCTCGGCGCGGCAAGCATCGCTTCGTCGTCATCGGTGACCCGCCCCGCCACTGTCGTCCTCGCCACCTATCGGCCTCTGCTCCTGCTTAGGATCCGCCTAGAGCGGGCTCATCTCCCTCACCTCCATCCTCTCGCCTCGCCATCGCATCCGCGCCGAGATCTACCCCCATCGCCTGCTCCGGGAGGCGGTGGTGGCGTGGCGCCGAGACTCCGGCACGACGCGGCATAG